ATATTACAGTAACAGAGTTACACGCATTAGGAAACATTTAGAATCATAACTTTAAAAGTTACGGACGGTTTTTTGGTGCCAATTTGCCTCACAGATATATTGGTGTGAGTGTGAAATGGTGAATAGAGTGCATTAAGTTAAAGCACTTTGTAGAAAGGCGCTTTATGGTTTTCAGTCCGTTTCCTTTTATTAGTTTACGGGCAGTTCTGCCAAATCCAAGATGGCGGACGCAATGACGTTTCACTGAACGGACCAATAGGCTCAAGGCGGAAGTGACGTTTATTTGTTTACGTTTTCTTCGGCTTGCTTAGGTCCGGTAATTAGCTGTGAGCAAACTGTGCTGTGATATTCTGGAATTATCCCACATAGAAATCACATAATGGCAGCACATGACAAAGCACCGTGTGAATGAAGTCTTTTGAGAGTTAAAAACTCCTTAAACCAGACTGACTAGCGTCAGTTTTTAAAAATGGAACATTTGGGCAGAGTTTGGGGTTTATCTTGAACTTTAAAGGTTGGTGCTCAAATGTATTGAATAAAGCCATATAATATGAGACATTAGAGCCACCCTTTACCTCAGCAGTTTGTGAACTTTTGTTTAAACATATATTCTCTGTATAAAAAAACAAACTGGCTCTGAAACAAACTCGGTGAGTACAAAATGTGTGATGAAGAATTTATTTACAAAGGGAAGTTCACTCATTAGATTTAATCCTTGTTGTTTTTAACTTGGAAAACAAAACTAAACATACCATTTTAAGAAGCAGACACTCTATGTGAAACTATAACGGTTCTTCTCTAATATAAAAATAGCTTGTTTATCACATCTTTACCAGTTAATTTTCGATCATGGATAAAAAATATGAACAAATAACAAATATTGTCCTCATATGATCTGTAAACAAACATGAAATAATAATTTGATCATCAATCATTTTACATCATTTGATTTACTGAACCAAAAGTTTTTGATCCTCTGTCAGTGATACCGTTCTGTTTTTTCCGTCCTACAAAAAAAACAGAAATTTACAGAAAATGTACAGAACAGCTTCAGAAACTCACAGAGACACAGACAAACAAATAACATGAAAGTCTGAATATTTTCTAACATCAAATCAAAATTGTGCTGGTGATTTGTTTCTAAGGTTTGAAAAGTTTCAAATTTAAATCCAGATACAATATACAGACCAACAATAATGAGAAGTTGATGGAATAGGATGGAAAGTTGGAAGAACTAAAAGCTCAAAGTTTTTTTTCAACATAAACTGATGATGGATATTTTTTTAAACCACATTTTTTGGTTTGTCCTGCTCAACTTTAAAAAGAAATAAATTTCTGATTTGATATCTTTTGTCTAATTAAAAACATAGTAAGCATTGGAAAGAAAATGCATTAAAACTGCTACACCAACAATTTAACAGATCTTGATATCAGAGGTTTTAGCGTTTTTAGCTGGACCAACTTCAAAATGAGGGAAGAGTTTTTCAGTGAAAGTGTCTCTGTGAGTGTAGATGGGAGTCATGTCTTCAGAGTTGTAGAAGGACACCTCCCCCATGTCATAGTCCAGCTGGACTCTGATCCTCTGGAGACTCTTCTTCACTGTCACAGTCTCACCAGCACCATCGGCATATTCTCCATCACCATGCAATAAACACCAGATTCCATATTCTGGTAAAGAGTCCAGCTCTCCCTTCCTGTTAACTGACTCTTTAACCAAACCCACATTCCAGCGAGGATGATTTCCCACCTCCACCTCCCAGCTGTGTGTCCCTGAGCTGAAGCCCTCAGAGCCAAACACAGTGCTGTAGTAAGTGTTTCTCTCTGGGTTTTCAGGAAGCTTCTGCTCTGTGTCTCCATCT